ATAGTAAGTAATAAGGCTTAACTAAGTAAAAAGTATAGAAAGAAAGTTGATGTGTGTAAGTTTGTGAATTTGTAATTGTAAATTTGTAGTGTGATAATTAAATGAATTGATATCGAATAATTGAAATTGAAGATAGAAATGTAAAATTAAATGTACTATATTGTAGAATTGAGAGAGAGAGAGAGAGAGAGAGAGAGAGAGAATTTTGTATCTAGTGGGCTCACAACCGACAACTGACGGCCCGAGCTGCCCAAGAACCATGCTTTTAGCAGTCGAGCTGAAAGTCAAGTCACTCACAATCAATTATTTATTGAATCATATTATTGAAATTAGAAAATAAAATGATAAAAAAATATCCTAGGTTCTACACAAATAAAGGAAGAAAAGAATATCAACAATTGTTATTTTTGACTCGCAATTCCCAATAATGAATCATCAATCTCATATTCTAAATATGTAAATCTTTTGACATTGTGTTCTTCAATTTTCAAATCTCAAATTGAAATACCAATTTTAAAAACTTGTACGCACACTAAGATCGATGTATTTGTTCCAATTCGTTGTTGCAGAGTGGTCAGAAAAGTCCTATGGTCGGACAAATTGTTAGCAAACGAAACTTCTAAATTCTTCTTCCCAACCAACCGGTCATAGGTATGGTGGGCATACCATAATAATTAATGCATGTTATGAATATTATTTTCTAGGAAACTATTTAAATATCAATCAATTTTCTAATGCCACGCCAAATTCATAGATTATCATTACGTTAATTTGTGATTAAAAATTTAAAAGTAAAATGAATTTACTTATCTTCCAAATGTGTAAAATTTTAAAATTACATTTTTTACTAATAAAAAATCTTTTTAAAATATTGATTTCTGACCTTGAGAAAAAAGATCAATTTCTGAGCTCAATCAAACATGCCTATACCATTAAGTTTAACATCTCCTACTTTTCACAGGCCATAATTCATAAGTGTTAACTCGAAGAATTCTTTTGCTTGTCGGTTATCATACTTTATGAAATGTTCATTTATATATAGTTAAAGAATAAAATCTCATTTGAAAAGTATTTATAAATGGTTGAATTTATAAATAGATGAAAATTTGTGACGAATAAGTGGAACTTTTGAATTCCATGGAATGATGGATAAAGAAATGATTCACCATTTATAAACATTTGACGAACATAGGCTAAGTTTAATTCAAATTGGGCCTACTATAGGGTTAAGTTGACCAACTTGTCTCAAAATCTAGTAGACGATGACTCTATAAGGTACATACATATTTTGGTTCTCCTTTCGTTTTAGTTCCAATATCAAAAATTCAATAATTATTATTATTAGAGTAGGGAGCTGAATTTTTGTTTGGCTCGATCCAAAAACCTCACACTACAACACGTGATGAAACTAAAACTATGAAAAGGTTTTCATCGTGTTTTTTGGAGTGGCTATCCGAAAAAAAATCTATCTTTTGTACTGATTTTTGATATTGTGAATTTTCTTCTTCTCTACTCGTGGTTTTTTATTTTTTCTGTCTAGGATTTTCGCTTAAATTTGTATGCACTTGTTCTTATTTTTATTTTTCTATTACCTATTCTCGCTTTTTCGTAACAAATTTAATCACATCTTGTATTAAATCGAAAGCTACTAATGAAGGGAACAAATTTCTTTTAACCTTTAAACATAGACAATTGACGATTCCGAAAAGATTAACTAAAGAAAGAGAGAAGCCCTGCTATAAAAAATATTTTTAAAATTTATTTTTCATTTTGTATCAGTGCTTTCAATAATAAACTTGATAAAGAGGAATTGACGCTGATGGTGGTAAAAAATTGGAGTCTAAAGAAAAATCGATCTGGGTAATCAAACATAATTTTTAACGTCATTTATTTTGTAATATAATTATTTTTCCATAAAATAAATCTTAATTTACTATCTAGAAATTAATTCTTAAACACAATCAAATATGTTGTTTTTAAATCCAATAATGAGTCTGTAAACTGTCGATTGCTTGGTTAAGTTTTTAAATACTTATAAGTAATAAGTTCGAAAAATATGAGATTAAAATATAGATAAAAGTTATGAATCCTACAAAATCAACTTATAAGCAATTATATATAAGTAGGTACTAAAATGTGTTGGAGATGAGGTAAAACAAAAAAATTACCCCAGTTCATAATAATTTTTCAATAGTCAAATGTTGGCAGCATAAAACAGCTGGAAAAAAAGTAAAAATAAAAACAATGAAAGTACTTTGAGAGTAAACTTATAATAATTTACAACAAAATAAGTCAAAAGATTTTAAAGCGTTAAAAAAATAGCATTTTGACCATTTAATTCAAAGATATTATCATAATCGCAATTTTATCGTAAACGTGGAACATTAGTTACTGTAGGATTGTCAATATCAGATGAGTAATTTTCATTAGTTTGGGAGACAAAATTATGACATTTGAAATTAAATTAAAATTCGGCACTTCAATTAAAATAATTTAAAAGTTAGTAACCCAATTAGAATTCTCTTAATACTTACCGTTGATGAAATTTACCTTAGTAATTAATGATTAGTTTTGATCAATTAATTTAATTGAGTGGACGGCACTTTATCAGTGACAATAAGCTTATTTTATGAAAATCTTGTGCGCGTTATTTTTTCAAACATAGCCCCGAGATTTACAAGAGGACATGTGTTTCCCTACTAGGAATTGTCCTCTAAATCTAGTAGGCAGCATTTTATTGAATTAAGCTCATCTATCAGGCCTGCTAGAGGCTCTCCTCTCACGTTCTCTCATCTCAGTGGGTCCCTCATTTTTAAAAAATAGAAAAAAAAATCATATTTCAGGTGTATTTTTTACATCGTTTCAAAAATTAGGTAAATAGTATGACAATTCAAAATTCAGGTATATTTTTAATTTTTTAATTAAAGATAATAAAATCATAGTTAAACAATTCATGGTCACAGATTCATAATTATAGGTTACAAATTTATTTACTGGTCACATATCGTCAAATTAATTGGTCACGGATTATTTCGTGATCACAAATCAAAAATTTTATTGGTTGCAGATTATTTCGAGGTCACGGATCATTTAAATTTAGGTCACATTTTATCTATATATCACATAGGTCACAAATTATTTTTTAGTCACAGATACCCAATGTTTTGTCACAAATCAGCAAAATAGTTGGTTACAGACGGCGAAATAGTTGGTCACGGATTCCAAACACCCCCACCACATATCTCGATCCAGCACCAATCTTGGTCATAAATCACCACCACTCCATCGTCGCTTACACCACATCACCAGATCCTATCTCAATTCCATTCCATAACAATACTTGATCACAAACACTACTCGTCACAACACCACCACACGCAAACCACCACCAAGTCTCGCTGGTTGCAATGTTTTTCTCACCAAACACCCAACCTGATATTGATCCACCACTAATTTTTTGCCTCAAATCAGTTAAAGTTGGTCATAAACGCCTAATTGTTGGTCATAGACACCCCATATATCACTGCCACCGCAACAACCATTATAATCAAACGGTTCATACCACCACCGATCCACACCACCACTGTAATCACACGGTTCACACCATCACCGATCAATCACACACCAAATTCCAAACCATCAATCGCGACATCACTAGATCGCGAGTGCCTTGCGCACTACATGTGACCACCACCATCATCTCCACCACCACTACAAAACACCACACAATCAATCTCCGCCATCGTGCACAGTTGCACTTTGAGCAAACACTGATGAGGTGCTCCTCGAATAGCGGCAGCACTGCCCTTGCGAATAGTAGGCGAGGCGCAAATAGAAAAGGCAGCCGCCAAGCAGAGAGTCCTCACAATGTTGGAGCGCCACCAAGCACATACATACCTCTAGCATGTGTCTCATCGTAGAAAGCCGGATTTGCAGCGGCTGAGACATGAAGGGGTCACAGGAGAAGAGAGTGGAGAGAGAGAGTAGGGTTTTTTTAGATGGTATTGGGATGAGTTTGGAATTGAATTGGGATTGGTTGATATATTTTATTATTAGTAATTAAACTAATGCCTGGATATTGAATAAAAAACTTTTCCATTTAATTTTTGTACTGTGATCTTCAAATATCTGGAATTTTGTAATTTTCCCTTAAAAAAATACCCCCAAAATACACACCCCACGCCCCAAATGTGAGATGAAGTGCTCTACCAAGCCTGTTCCATTTTATTACTAGAATTCAGCTTCTTGAATAAACTAATAAATTATTCAAAATATGCATGCTCTGGCAAGTTATTCCTCTAGTGATAAGAAATATACGAAGCATATATTAAAAACTATGCTCTTGTTTGACTCATATTTATAAATTATTTTAAACACTCAAATCACTTTTTATTCACAGATTTCGAAAAATTTATATGTATTATCCACTTATCTATCATTTTATTTTTATTTATCTATGATGAAATAAGTTATAAATAGTTCCCAAACACATCGTATGCCCATACAAAATAATTGTGTTCATGAAATTTAAAAAAATCCATATGATCATTAAGTGAGTTATCGATTAACACATTTATTAGCTATATAACAACAACAACTCATGTTTAAACTATTTGAAGTATGAGTTGCTTCACACTAACATAAGTTCGATTGTTTTGTTTAACCGTAAGGTTTTTTCTTAATTGTGAAATGCATGATTCTGTATACTATTGAAATAAAAAAATTTAATTTTTAATCATATTTACAACACATAAAGTTAAAACTCTAGCTCGTGTTTGGTAGAAATTTTAGTGTAAGTTAAAATTTACAATTAATTTTAATGACATATTTTATGAGATTCACAGTTTTTCAATGGCACAATTCATTTAGTTTTATTAAAAAATTAATTTTGATCCCCACCAATTTTAATTTTGGTGTTTCATTGAAAATATAACCTAAAAAATGTGTGTGTGTGTGTGTGTAGAAATCATATATGAACTACAAAGGATAAAGAAATAATTGCAAGTAAAATGATTAAAAAACGAATAGATTATAATAATTTGAACGGGCACTTACATGGGCAAAAGCGGGTGTGCCCGAATCAACAGCCACCTGGCGACAACGCAAAAGCCATTCCAAACTTTTATCATTCCAAATCTCGAATCGCACGGATTGACCCTCTTTGTCGATCCACAATTACTCAAAATTATAGCTCTTGTGGGTGCGAGCTCTTTCCTGATTCCTCTTTTCTGGTGTTAGATTCGTTTATTATTGTTGAATTCTGTTCTGTTATTGTTTTTTATTCTTTCTACTTGCTTTCTTTCAATTTGAGTACTTATTTGTTAAAACTTGGGTTGGACTTTTACTTTTTTTTTTCCCCTATTAAAAATCCGATGGATTGCTTCTTAATTCGTCGATCGAGCTATTGAATTGTATAATTGTTGTTAGTCCAGCCCTGACTTATGAGCATTATTACTTTATTTTGGGTTGTTGACAGAAAAAAAGATTTCTGGAAGAAATTCCGTCATTTTCAAATCTTGATAGCTTCGGTTTTTTTTTTTTTTTTTTTTGGTGGGATCTTCTGCTTTTCAAATTTAGGCTATACAAGTTTAAGGACTTTTACTTTGTTTTAGTGAAATCCATTTATTGATAATGAATTAACTGGTGGATTTATGTTATAGGAAGTGGAGGAGCTCATTTGATGTGTAAAAGAGAGATTTCACATACCCGTGGTAAATAAAGGGAATAAATTATAGCGATTGCAGAGAATGGCGTGTAGAGGTTTTTGGGAGTGCTTATTGAAGCTCCTGAACTTCTTGTTAACACTTGTGGGCCTGGCAATGGTTGGTTATGGTATTTACCTCTTTGTGGAGTACAAAAATGCAGCATCTCCTGGTGATGATGTCCCCATCGCACCTCCAGGTGGTGAGATAGTGCAGCTTGGCCGCCCGATGCTCATGGCTGTGTCTTTAGCTGATAGCATTTTCGATAAACTTCCCAAAGCTTGGTACGGTCATCCATTTATCTCTTCTTTCAGTTTTTGATAATTTTGATGCATTTGCAATTTTAAATTAGAATGCATGCTTGAGTTGGTTTTCCAAACTGTGTACACTATTTCTTGTATGTAATTGTTAATACGTTTCACTATTACCTGCATTATTTAATGGTAGAAATCCAAGAACTTTGAATTATATATGAACTGATTTAGAAAGTGAGAAATCTGGAATGACGTAGACAAGTGTGAAAGTTAATGTTTTGGTTTGTGATTCAAGGCGAGTTTGGTATTTTCTTGAGAACGATGGATGTTGTATGTAGCAACCCAAAATTTAACCTTTGAATCATTAACACGGTTCGTAAAATAAAAACTTAACTTTCATAAAATATAACTTTTGTACCAATTACAATATTTGAAAAAGAAGAATTACCAAGTCAAAAAGTAAAATAATAAATTGTTCAATAATATCTTTATTATATCACCAGTGGCTTGTTCCAAACTCCAATGCTTTGAACCTCATTTACCTAAAGGGGACTAATCATAAACAATTAGATGAAATCCCAGTAAGTGAGCCGCATAAATCATATTTCATATTTAGAATTTAGAAAATCTTAATATGCATAAGGAGAATGGGAATTAGAAATCGAACTTAGGTGGTAATAATTCTTCTACATAAAATTACAATGTAGATGGCTTGACACGGAAATTAAGAACCATACTATAATTCCCTTGTGCAGCGCTACTGAATTTGAGTCCTTGAACTTACACATATAGGATGCATATCATATTCATAAGTTGGAATTCTGTATCTTAAAAGTATGAAAAATGATTTAAGATACACGTATGACTACACTTACCTCGTAAATTTGAAGAGGATTTGATAAAGCACGTACGGAAGAACTTGACCTCAAACAACTGTTTATAAATTGTGTAGTGTGCGATAGACATAGCTACACACATATATAGATGTACATAATTATGGTAATCGTGTGTGTGTGTGTGTGTGTGTGGATGGATGGATGTATATGTATATATATATCGGCGCACGTAATCATAGTAGTACTCAATGTTATTAAAATCGGATTGATCCGATTGGTTTGACTGGATTAACTGGGTTGGACCCATAATTGGTCTTGTTTAAAACCTGTGACCAACAGAAATCGTTGAAAAACTTGACAAATCGGATTATTAACAAGGAACCGGTTTAAATGAGTTTTTCGGTGGTTTTGAAAAATAAAAATAAAAAATAGTAGTGGAATGGGTATCTCACTTCTCTTATTTACCCAATGCTCATAGTTAGCGGAAACTCCAAAACAAAAATGTAGAAAGGGGTGCCAAAACTTAATAAATAAAAAAAAGAAAAGAAGAAGAAGTAAAGTTCTGATATGGAAAGCTCAAAGATAAATGTAGAGCAATAACGGCATCTTATCCATATGCAACAACAGCGACGCCTCATCTATAATGGAGCAACACCAACAGCGGGGTATTAGGGATCTGGTAGTGGAAGGTTATATTTATATAGGGGGGATATCTTGGGCTTAATTTTGTTTTAATTTACATATCATCCATTTATTTGGACGAATTTAGTTTTTTTTTTAGGGTAAATGAGTATTCAATTAATTAATAAATGTTATATATAAATTTTTAATATAACATATCATTAAGTTGAAAAAAAAAATGAATATACTTGAATACATGAATTGTTTATATAATTATTTTAATTTCCGGTTCAATCTTGGTTCGACCATTTAATCGTTGACCCTTTCTTTTTTCGGATCGATGTTTGGGTCGGTTCTCAAAATATTAACAATACTATAATTTAACTTAATGCGCTAACTAATTTTTATATTTTCATTTATGATTTCTAATTTAGCTTCTAAACAATCTTTTCTTTTAAAATTTCCTAAGATTTCTAAATTTAAGTAATCTAATCTTTTCATGAACTAATTATCATTTAGACTAGCAAATATTTCTGATACCAATTACGTGCCAATTAAATTAATTTTATTTGAAAAATTCATGGCAAAAAGTCTTATGCGATTAAATTCTATTTGAAAAATCTGTGGTAAAAAGTCTTGTTTTATTTATTTATAGTATAGTTAGAATACGAAGAAAGTGATGGAAAGTCTTTGTGCAAGTTTGAAAAAGTCTTTAAGCGAAATGAAAAAGTCTATCTACTAATTAAGAGAAAGTGATAAATCTTACCAATTGCAAGTTTGTAATTGGTTAAAAGACTTTTTTCACTTTCACTTAATTAATTGTTAAGATTTGTCACTTTCTCTTAATTCATAGATAGACTTTTTCAAACTTGCATAAAAACTTTTCATCACTTTCTATGTAGAAAACTTTACTATAAATAAATAAAATAAGACTTTTTTCACAGATTTTTCGAATAGAATTTAATTGCATTAGACTTTTTGCCATAGATTTTTTGAACATAAATAATTTAATTGATATAAGAGCTATTTGATAGTCTAAAAGATAATTAGTTTATGAAAAGAGTACATTACTAAAATGTAGAAATCTTAGGAAATTTTAAAAGAAAAAATAGTTTAGATAGAGCTTCTTTGATTTGTAATTTTGATAAAAAAATTTAAGTATCTTTTACACTCCGAGGAGGATAAACATCTAAATAGTATTGTAGATTTACTCATAAATTTAGGAGAAATTTAGAAAGGAACAATTCAAATAAAAAGGTAGAAACTTTATTAGAAAATATAAAGACTCTAGAAAGTAATCTAGAATATATTAAATACCGAAATATTAAAAAGAAAATTTAATAATATAGGAGAAACAGATACTAGTCTTAACTTAGAAAAATTGGAAAGTAAAGTTAAAGCTTAGAAAAAGAAAAGTCAATAGATACTAGACAAGATTTAGATAATGTAATAAATGAACTAGAAAAACTAGATTTAGGTAAAACTAAAGAACCTAGTAAATTTAAGAAAACTAAGCGGATCTATACGTAATGGATAAAGGAAAATAAATTGTAGCCAATAGAAGTAAATTAATTGGTAATCCTTTACTAAGAACATTAAGTAGAAAAACGAAATCTGAAATAAGACTAAAATCTCTAATAGATATAGAAGAATAGATAGAAATCTTTAGAGAAAATAAACTAAAATTAGTAAAAACTTTGGACGTATATAAAGAAGGAAATTTATTTAGCCCTTGTTTGATTCTCATTCTTCTGAAAATTCATTTTTTTAAAATTTATTTTCAACCACACATTTTTCAATAAAATAATATTACATGCAAATCCAAAACTTTTCTTTAGATTTTAACCACACATTCTCCATCAATTTACTATTCAAAATATATTATTTCTCTCAAAATGGGGATAAAACAAGGGTTTAGTAAACCTTTAATATATCAGTATTATGGAGAAATATATGTTTCTTGTACATACGAAGATCAATTTATATCCCTATATTTTATAGGAAAAGAATCTTATAAAGAAAATTGTTAATAAAAATCTTCAACGGACTCATTTAGGATTATTGGTCGATATGCAATGTTATTCCTTAACTTTCATTCCCTTGCATTAAGGTCCTAATTTTATAATTAAAGACTATAAAGGATTTTGGGGTATTATAATCTCTCTCTTAAAACAAATTTTCATCCTTGAAAATTACTTTAGTTGTCATCAAACAGTTGGAAATATTTGTAAAATAGAAATTTCTAAAAACGAAATTTTTTTGAAATAGAAGTTTCTAAAAGAGAATTATAAGGTGGTAGGTTCTCAAAATAGACACTTCTCAAAATGGAAGTTTTCTGAAATCGAGGTTTCTAAAAATACAAGTTTCATAATGTAGGAATTCATGAAATAGAGATTTTTGAAATGAAATTTTCTTAAAGTTTTTGAAAATAAAGTTTAGAAAAGATGGGAATTTTCTTAAATTTGGAGTGAGTTGTAATGTTGTTTTCATTTTATTGGTCTGAATAATGCTCAACTAAGTGGCTTTTAGGTGACGAGGGCGGTACAAGTGGTCCACTTAAATTCCAAGCTCTCCTTAAAAGAGTGTCTTTTTGACAAAACCTTTCGGTTTTGTAAATACACAAATCAAGAAAACTCGAATAATAATTATGAATGAAAGTAGGAGTTATAATTTTCCTAATTAAACGCTATTATTAATCGAAAGATTTTCTAAGGTCAACTATTCTCATAGGTCGATATGTATTAACTAGTCTAAAATCACATAATATTGTAAAATTATCTTTCTCATAACTTGTAATACCCATAATGGGCTTTTTGTAATTAACACATATTCATAAAATCACAAGTTATGTTCATATTTTGCTATGTCGCTCTGTCACGAAGTTCATGATTGCTATTTCACATAGCCCTTGATTGAGACACATTCTTCTCAAAATTCATTTTCAACCACATATTCTTTAATAAAATAATATTACACATAAAGTCAAAACTTTTTCTTAATTTTTAATCACACATTCTTCATCAATCACTATTTAAAAACGTATTCGGTCCCTTAAAATGGAGCTCAAACGAGGGCAAAATAAGCTGGTTAACATGACAAATAGCACATACTTAGTTAATCATGCTTTTCACATAAATTCATAAAACTTAGCCAACATATTCAATGTTAATAAATAAACTATTTATGATTATTTTTCTACCTGGTTCAAGGAAGTCAAAGCTTGGAACTTGGCATCGCATAGTGGTGGTCTAAAAAACATTAAATATGTTTCAAAAAAAAAAAAAATTTTAACGTAACCATAAATTCGACTTCTAAAATTTTAACATGAACAATAACTCATGAAAATTCTTTTTTTAAACTGTTTGTAGAAACGTAGATCCGCTTTGACACCAAGTTGTAACGATTCAAAATTTACCCTTTGGATCATTAAAAGTATCATGAAATAAAAACTTAACTTTCATATATATATATATATATAACTTCTGTACCAATTATAATAATCGGAGAAGAAGAATTACGAAGCCATAAAAGTAAAATAGTAAATTCTTCAATAATATCTTTATTATACCATCAGTGGCAAGTTCCAAACTCAATGCCTCGGACCTCAATTATTTAAAGGGGGAATAATTATAAACAAAGAAATGAAATCTCAATAAGTGAGACACAAATTGTATTTCATATTTGAAATTTAGGAAATCTTAACGTATATGAGAATATATGAGAATTAGAAATCGAACTTAGGTGGTAATAAATTTAAGAATCGTACTTAGTTGCTATAATTCTCTTGTATAGCGCTACTAAACTTTGATCTCTTGAACTTACACATATAGGATCTATATCATATTCATAACTTGGAATTCTGTATATTAAAGTATGAAAAATGATTTAACATGTAACGTATAACTACGCTTACCTAGTAAATTTGAAGAAGATTTGATAAAACACGTACGGAAGAACTTGACCTCAAACAAACGTTTAAGAACTTTGTGTGTGTAGTGTAGGACAGTCATAGTTATACGCACAGATATGTAAATGTTCTTAATTATGGTAATCATATAATTAAAATCAATCAGTTATAATTATATATAATTATACATACATAAATGCACGTAATTATATTGATACTATAATTTAAATCAAGCAGCCATAGTTATATATAGTTATACATATATAGATATACATAATTATAGTAATCATACAATTAAATCAATCAATCATAATTATATATTCACACATACATGGTACTTTACTTATTTAGAAAGGAATCTTCCCAACTTATCTTTCAACTTAAGGAATTTTACGTAATTCCATCCAATTTTTCCATATATGTGTATATAGTTCAAGAAATTGCACTTGTAGTCCCTCAACTATTAGTTGATATGCAATTTGATCCCCTAACTTTCATCCTCTTACATTAAGGTCTAATTTTTATAATTAACGACTATAAAGGATTTTGGGATATTATATTGTATGCCTATATTATTTTATGGCAAGCTAATTTTAGTCCAGTGTAGTATTTAAAGAGAGAAACTTGGGTGATTGGAAGCCGTGGAATAACTGAATTAGTAATAAGTAAGGGGTTATTAGAGATATTAGTGATGCAGAATGATTTAAAAGATCAAAGCCAGGTGAGATAAGTGGAGGGATGCCTTTGGGGGTTTACACTGTGTTATTCCTCGTAGATTAATTGGAAGATGTTATTGGACTCCATATATTTGGTGATGGAAATAAACTGTATATTAGCTGAGAGCCTGAGATGAAAATATGTTGTAGATATGTGGTAAACAAAGAAGAAAGAGTCAGAAATGATTATTTTTGTAACTTGTTGAAGGTAGTATCTGTCAGAAAGAAATTCTGGGAGAATCGTTTCAGATGGTTTGTCTGATCAAGAAATGTTTCTGATGCACTAGTTATGGTTGAACCTTGATGAAAATGGACCTAAATGATATGAACTGAGGTAACTGGAGTATCAGGGCCTTTATATAATTCAATTTTTAGATGATTTTTCGTAGTGCAGTGGATCTTAAGTAACTACATAGTTGATGCTCTATGTGCCTTTGTTGAGTTGAGATGATTTCATGGGATGGCAGTAAAAAAACCCGCCCCGCCCTGAATGGGGCAAAAAACCCGCTCCGAACGGGTTGGTGGGACGGGACAGGGCGGCCCCACCCCAAACCCGTCCTGTGAAGGAAAAAAATAAAAAAAAATTAAAAATAATTTTATTTCTAGACAATTCACCCGTTAAAAATTCATTTTGAATTTGTATTTTATTCTCTAATAATAACATAACTTGAAACTTTGAAAATGTAAAAAATTAAACGGGGCAAAAAGTTGCCCCGTCCCTGCCCTGCCCAACCCGGCGAGGTTTGGGGGAAACGCACCGTGCCCCGCCCTGTTGCCATCGCTATTGTCTGAAATGAAAACATCAAATAGCAGTAAATACAATGGGGTTCAGGAGCGAGCATGCAAGGACTGAAGACTATCAATGTCGAGAAAGTGATGTCAGTTAAATGAGATAGCTTCAGATTAATCTTTTGTAGATACCATCCAGAATTGAGTGTGTACGAGTAATTATTATATAGGTGTTTGATTAGGCTTTTGGATCAGTTGACAAGAATGGGGGCCAGCACGGGAATTTGATGTCCCTTTGTGGGCGAGTTTTCATAAATACTCCATAGTGATACAAATTGCTAAGTTATATACTTTGAGCATTGACTGCATTATATTTGGTATTAATTCTTTTAATTGTCATCCCTATACAACTATGCAAGAGGTCTTATTTTTAGTAATTTTATCCACCTCCATTTCATTTATTTCCTTATTTAACATGTGCCACTGGTAGTGTTCTTTTTCTTTCTTTTTTGTAACTTGCCTCATGCATATAGATTTCTCACTCTCATCATATCTGTTTGATGCAAAAGAGTTTTCTTCAGCTGTTGACACTTGACATAGTTGTTAATGGTAAACTTAAGTGTGCCTTAGGCATGCACTTTGATGTTTTAATCCCAAGCTTTAAAAAAGTGTAGAAAAGGTGTTAAAAAGCTCGAGGTGAAGAAAACACATGAAGCTCAAAATTAGCTATTTTGCTAAATTTTGGTGCTTCTCATGTCCTCATTACTAATGAAGTACCATATTTCTCTTAGATTGTTACATGGTTTTGATATTTGGGTGTTAAAATTTGATTGGTCTATGAAATGCATATAAATCTTAATCCAAAATTACCTTGACACTTATTTAACTCGTTTGTAATAAAATTAACTGACATTTTGTTAAAATTATTACAATTCCTGAATTTTATCTACCATATTATGCATTTCTAGATTTTACATCTAGAAATAATATGTGCGTCTCTTTTATGAAGTTAGTCTCTGGGTTTGTGATAAAGCCCCACGATCCTATAGTGCCTTGATGTCCTTTGCTCATTTAATGGCTACGTTGTTGACATTCACCATTGGGATATACACTGTTTTTTATCAAAGTGACAATCTAAGTAGTTTTCCTTCTCGGGTACAGTTGTTTAGCAGTTTTGAATCTTTTTGTCTACCACCTCACTGAGAGACACTAGTAATGGACACTTTATTCCCCGTTCAATTGGCTGCAGTCCAAGATTTCAGTCTTGGATTTTTAGTTAGCAGGGGAAGTTTCTCCTCCCTCCCTCCCTGTTGACTCACAATTGTTACGATCGCTTTTATGTTCTAAACTCAACTCAAACGCTACACTTCCCCTCATCCTGCCCCTGATTAAAAAATTCTTAACGAGGTTGTTGTTTGTGGTATTTTAGTACAGTGTACATTAGCCAGGATAATTATTAGAGAAGGTAGGTTGAGAACCCATTGAAGCATCCTTTTGCCGTAATAATAAAAACTTTAATAACAGAGGGCAATTATTCAATTTGAAAAGTGACCCAGAATAATAAAAAACTAAATAACAAAAGGGCAATTATTCAATTTAAAAAGTGACCCATCATATCAGCTTTTTTGTTAAGAGGTGCATTAACAAGACTTCAACTATTTGAGAGATCTGGGTGTAAGATATCAAAAGCTAGAAAAAGTTAAAACTGCAGGACAGCTTCGGGGAATCACTCGTAAATCCTCCTGAGTGATTTCATGCTGGGGTCTAATACAAGATCAATGAGTTACTAAATTAATTAAGGATATTTTTCCTGAGAAAGTATTATTTTAGCGAGCTTTTCCTAGCTGTTTTGGGTGCTAGTGAACAAATATTTTGAAAACAATGTACGTAATTGTGATGATCAAAATACAGCTCCAATGAAAAATACGGCTCCAAAGAATTCATTGAATGGCATAATCAAATTGTGTGAGTCAACAGTCTTTAAGAATTATCTCGTAAGACCACACACGACGGATTTTCTACTGGTTCTAATGTGGATTTAAATCCCAATGCAGGTCAAGATACTATATGAAGTAGCATCCCCTTGATGCAAATTTTTGAATCAACCTTTTATTACTTATTAGTAGAAAAGATCAATAATTGCGTGGCAGGATCACTCAGTAAAGCAATTATTAACCAATCATTCACTATCATTAAATGGGGTGGATGTATCCTGGTACTATTGTTAATATCCAAGAGGAACTTTCATTCTATTAAATACATTAGTACTGGCAAAATAACTGTAACTTTATCCATTTTCTACAAGTAATTGTCGCTGGTCTGGAGTTTTCACATTTTTGTGATTCTCTTCTTTCTTTTTTGGGTGGGGGTTGGTATGGGGTCTTTCCTGGTGGAAGAGGAAAGCGTACAAATGTTGATGATCTGTAAACTCAGCGAGCCAACTATTTGAAAAACACAGTATTTTGAGCAACTGGTTGATTCCTACACAAATTATGGTGAGAGAGACAGTATGATGTCTGGTGATGCACTAGGTGCTTCATGGCTGATTCATTTTATCTGTAGTCCTGGATGCTGTATCTGTCTTGACATAATTCTCAGAAAAGATAAGTCTTTTAAGAATAATCTTTTACTCAAATGTTTACTTATCACATTTTCTACATGCAGGTTCATATATTCTTTTATCGGAATTGGTGTAATACTTTTTGTCATTTCCTGTTGTGGGTGCATTGGAACAGCTGCACGAAATGGATGCTGCCTCACTTGCGTATCCTTTGTTTCTGATGATGTATAAGGAATTTTGACATGATTTTGCCCTAATCTCTAATATCCCTTGGATTGAATACTTGTGCTATTATCATACTGGGTTAATGATGATACCATCTTAATTAATGTGGTTTTTGCCGTCATTCTGAAGCTTTTGTTTAGTTGGTGAAGAGCTGTAACGGTAAAAAATGTAATTCCAATTTGTTAGCAGCCTCTTCGAACCAATATGTTAACTTTTTAGACCTACCACAGGCTTTTCCAGCTAGGTCACCAATATCCAAGACAATATTTGGAGATTCAATTTTTCCCTTTGCTTATGATGACATCTTTTCTACGAAATATGGTCTTTTAACCATTAATGAGGACGTTTAATTCATATTATCTGTATACCAATATTTTTCTGTGGTATATATTTAATTGGATAAACACTTCTAGATTGTGAAAGATGTGGATTGTGGTGGATATGTGCATCTGGGTTCTTCTGTTTATTCTTCTTCATAAGTGTGATGGGTTCCTTAAGGTAATAAAGTATGCAGTATTGCTGATCTTGTTGATCTTGATTGAACTGGGATTAGCTGCTTTTATATTCTTTGACAAAAACTGGAGAGAGGTAAGTCTTGTTATATCGGTTATCTTCATATCTTCAGTTCGGAAACTTTTAGTGAATTTGGTTACGTTTATATATACTGCACAGGAAATTCCGACTGACAAAACTGGCAATTTTAATATGATTTATGAGTTTCTGGAGAAGCACTGGAAAATTATCAAGTGGGTTGCTCTCGGTGTTGTTGTATTGGAGGTAAGGTCTTGGGGTGGTATTTTGCTTTATTATATAGTTGTCTATGGTTGATAATTGCTGTTAAGTACTTGGTAATCGTGTTGCACCTTTCCAATCCTTTGCTGAGTTATTACTGGGAAGCTCTCAGTTATTTCTTTGACCAAAATTTGTGATTCTAAGTTCTGTTTTCTGATAGAAGTTGAAAATATGAACAAGTTTCATATGAATAATTTCATGCATTTTTTTTGCCATGAACATGCATCCGAATCTCAGAATGTTAACATGTGTGGATTCTCCATATATATGCACTACTCTTCACTTCCAAAAGATGGCTTTGTAGAGATCATAATCCACACTACATCACCTGACCATTGGCATGATCACATATTCCAATTCAACTTCAGGGTGGCTTCAATGCCTACCAGCAGGGCTAACATGTTCCCAGAATTAGTATCCAGAGGGAGGGGTGAATAGATGCCAAATATATATAATAAGTGAACTCAATTTAAACACAAATATTCCCAGGTATGCAACAGAAAACTAATTACAAAATTTACAAATTTAGATGTTTATGAGAGCATAAGCAAAAATAAGGTTCAGAAACTCCAACGAAAATTAATGGAAGTCTTGGTGTGTGTTTTATTTCCAAATATTCAGTTTTGGTATAAAAACGAGGGTATATTTCCCAAAAGCAAAGTTCAAAAATGCATGTAAGTTTTTCTTTGCATAAACATGCACAAATAAATTCACAATCATCCAACAAAACGCTGGTTAGATAAATATTAACTGGTTAAATTTTGGCTGACTGGAGGTTTAAAGTGGTTCGATCAAATCAATCTATGGCACCCATCTGTGATGGTTGGGAATTGATTTTAGCCTTTCTACTACCGAAGTATTAACTATCTCGTTTGTTTGGTTGGTATAGGAAATCTAGCTTACGGTACTCGATCTTTTCTTGTTTAGAGTTGGGAAAAGATTTTTCAATGCAGCAATAACACCGTGATTTAAATTTTCTTACAGCATTAAATAACATTCATCCCAGCATAGAAACCATTTTTTGGTGTAACGGTCTTCACTGTATAAACAGATATCTCAAATGATACGATGAAATCTCTGTGGAAATTATTTTCAATATGGAAGTGTATGGACTCAAAATAATATTACTGGTTGGCTCAAGTAGAAGGTATGTTATATTTAGGTTTCTGTTTTCTGTGTATATGCAACATTGGCATTTATAGAAATCCTCCAAAGAATGACTCTCGGTTATGAAAAGAATTTAACATTTTAATCACTGAAAAGATGAAGTGGTTAACATTTCAAGAATGTCTCATTTTTCATCTATTTTTCTCTGTGGTTTCAATTCAGAAAAGTGAGGTTCTCTCTGTGTGCACGCGTGTGTGCGCGTGTGCACGGTCGAGAGAGAGAGTGTGTGTGTTGGGTTGTGTTGTGTTGGGGTGGGGTAACTGTGAATCCTGAAACCTTGTGCATGAACTTTTGAAAATTAAGCATCATAGCCAAAGCATATATAGATTCCTTGAAATTCTTGTTCTCCAATCTCAAATCTTCTGTCAAGTGGTTCTGAATTTGAGTTTTCTAGGTATTATTGGACTTTAGAAGTGGCTTTAGGAACTTTATTCCTCTGAACTGGCCTCCAGTTGGATAGTGATATCTTACGAAGATCTTCCTACTTGGACCTTCAGGCATAGGTCCATGTATCCAGTCAGATCATATGCTGACCGAGGGATTTCCCTCGTGGAACCTTTTGAGTTGGAATGTTTGAACTTTGTCCCTTGATCTGCAAAAGTTTTATTGGGAGTTATCACACCTGGCTCAAGTTATAATTTCATATTTTCACTGTGACACATTCAACATCATTACTGCAACTTGTATGTTTTATAGTCAAAACTTGGTTTAGATTTTCAAAGTGATCATTTAAGACTCCTTTAACAAATAATTATGGGGATTCTAGCCATGAATTAAATAGGCTTGAATGGCTGACCTCAAAGTGCTGTGAATTTCTTGCATTATTTTTTTAAAGTTACGCTCCCCTGAAATTGCAGGCTCTTGTATTTTTATTAGCACTTGTTGTAAGGGCTGCCAACAGACCAGCAGATTATGATAGTGATGATGAGTATATAAGTGGCCCCAGGCAACAGATCCGGCAGCCTTTGATCAATAATAGGCCAACAGTTACCGCCACAGGCGTGCCTGTTACTGGTACCCTTGATCATCTTCCAAGTAGGAGTGATGCTTGGAGCACACGTATGAGGGAAAAGGTACATAACGTTATATTTCTTCCTTTGCCTTGAAATGTATGTTCTGCATTTTTTTTCCCTGCTAGATGTTGAACGATTGTTGATATTTCTTAAATCATGGTTAATGCGTGAATATGAAGAACAAAACTCACAATTCTCACTTTGTTCTGCCATTCAGAATCCCAGCTGGAACCTGCTAGCGTAGGTTCTACTACTATTTTTTATTTTTTCCCCACTTGTTGGGGGAGGGGTGTTGGTCATATCAATTGCAACAACCTTTTGAACAGTTACATTCAAAACCAAAGGATGCAAAATAAGAAAAAGAACAGCGAATTAAAAAGATAGATATTCATTAAGAAACCCAATTATGTGTTGAACCATTTGTTTCGAAACCTTTTGAAAGCTTGAACTATTAGAGATAGCCATATGTATACCATTTAAGTATTGTCGTCAACATGCTCCCTCGAGTGTAAGTCTTACACATGCGCAATTTAATGTGTGGTGTCACAAATTGATCTTAGGATCTTTGCATACTCTGTGCTACATTGAACCACTTATAATAAAAGAGGTGTATATTTTTTAAATATTGTCTTCAAAAATATGTTTCTGTATAGCTCTCGTGGGAACTCCTAAAAGCTTAAATATGTGTTTTTATCAGTGCACCAATGAGAGAAAACAAGGATATTGTTATTTTTATACTGTGAATTTTTCAAGTCTCTACAATGAAATCGTGATCCATTCTGAATTTCCACTTATTTTCTCATAACTTGCCCTCAGCATTATAAATTTGGGAGGCAGCAATGTTAAAACATGGTGTGGGAGCGCAAATATTTGCTTAGAGCATGTTGAAAAGGTCATTTGACCTCTATAATTATGCGGAGAGTTTACTTGATGATATTTTGCGGATGAGTAGATGAGACGGTGCAGTTTTTTGGGTTTTTTAAGCAGAATAAAGGGGCTAAATGACATGGGTATCAGCAGCTGAACACAACTATAGGGTGTTAACTGCCTCGATATTCTATGGGGATGTATACATCCATGTATGCATGTAGAAAGATTCTTTAGATTAGTTCTTATACTGAGCGATTGAGGATTTCAGTTTGGTTTCTATTTTAATTTGAAAACAACTGCAAGACTGAAACGGGCATAGGTCATCTGTACCTGACTTCTACAATAATGTTATCTTGATAATTTATTCCCCTTGCTTATTTGGGGCTGTGGTATTATTTTTTATCTGGTACACAGTATATTAACTATACATTCCATAGATAGCCTTGTTTGATTCCCATTTTTCTCAAAATAAATTTTTCTTTCTTCTTTCCAATCTCACATTTTTCAATTAAATAATATTACACGTAAATTATAAAGCTTTCCTTATTTTTTATCCACACATTTTCCATCAATCTACTATTCCAAAATGTATTTGCTCAATTTAATGGGGCTCAAACAAGTCCAATTGAGTGCAGCTTTTATTCATAAATTCTATAGTTCATGTCTAATCACTTTCTGCTCCCTGTAAATCAGTATGGGCTTGATACTTCAGAATTCACATACAATCCATCGGAGTCGAACAGGTACCAGCAAGCTGCCGCACAATCATCAGAGGAAAGGAGCCGTTGTACCATAATGTGATGGTCATTCTCAATTTGCATAAATTGTAATTGTGCTTGTTTATGGAAACTGATGTGATTGACTAGTATGAGGTCTTTGGATCTTCAGACTGTTCTTTCTGCAGGGTCTGTATGCAAAAGAAAAAGAAAAAAAAACTGAGTTCTAAGAAGCTGCACTTAGTTTCTCCTCTCTGTTTCATTATTGAGAAATGGACGATGTTGTTTTGTTTGGTTGAGTATACTTATTTTCATGGACCATATCTTTGCTATCGGTTCTATGGTTATTATCAAGGCTCGAGAACTGAACATTCCACTTAGCACTGTTTTACTTGCTCTAATAATGGTCAGCTTTCTCTTAACTGATAGCAACTGGTTTTGGTTGTTTATCTGCATATTGTGCGTAGGATGGAATGCTAGTAAAATTTTGTTGTGTTCGCCAGTATATGTAATTTCAGATTCTCTCTATTTTCATAGCAGTATAATATTGGGAGTAGGTGGAATAATTAAGGGCATGTTTGGCATGGCTTCAACTTTCTGTAAAAGAGCTTTTGGAGGAAGTTGTCTTTATTTTTGTTTGGAAACTAAAGAAGTGCTTTTAAAGGAAATCTAATTGGATCGACTTCTTCTAAAAGCTTTTTTAATTAGAAGTATTTTCACAAAATTATTCAAACGTGTTTAAAAACAACTTTTGGGTCTCAAAAACACTTTTTGAGTTTTTAAAAGTCATGCCAAACTGTCCTAAGCCTGGCACCACAAATGTTTCTAGGCCTTAAAATCGTATGTGGACTGATTGAATGAAAGTTCTGTCTCCATCTGATGGGATAAGAATGTTGGAGCTTCACTCAATCCTTTGAATGCCGTAGTAAACTATTTTTCAGTCCCGAGGCATTTACAGTGAAGATGAAAAGAAGCCTGGTTTGGAGCAAATTTTGTTTTACTAATTCGGTGTAGGTGATATTCATGTATTCGACAAAGATGATATTTTTGTTTTAGCCATGCCAAGGAATGATATACAGATGGTAATTTGAGTGAATGATTTCAAGAAGCACAATTTGTACAAGGAATTTTGATTTCCATCCATATCAGCATTTTGTATAGAGGAGAGCCTACCCATGATGAAAAGTTTTGGTTATTCTGATCTGCCTTCTTACCATTGTGTTTTGACTTGGGTTATCCTTGCTTAAATTTGCAATTGATTCCAACCTAAAGTATCATGGCAAAGAACCATGTCAAGGACTTGGTTCAAAATTTTGATGTATTTACCACTTATAATTCAAAGACTTCGGACATGAACGTGGACTTTTCGCTTTCTTTGTTTACGTAGGGGGAATTTTGGACCGCATGAAGAAGTATTTGGAAAATAAAAATTTTTTTTAGGTCAAGAATTTAAAGGCATTAATAGATGTTCATGGATATGTTATAATCGAGAAAAAAATATTTGAAATTTACCAAAAATTTGATAATCAATTTCTTATCTAGTCTTTTGGATTACAAACTTCATACTTTTATTTTTAAAAACTTGATGCTTTTAACCTTTTATGATATTTTTCATAGTCAAGATTACATTGTCGCGTCGACATCAATTATAATTAATAATATACAAATTTTTAGATTGGGCGGACCAAGAAAAGATGAAGAAAATAAAATTTCAAATTCTGTCCTTTCTCCATTGTAGTCTTATGCTTGTTCATTTATTCTCTCTCTGTTCCCCATGCTAGTCTAACGCTCGTGCGTTGCATAGACTATGTTATTTTTAAGGTAATATTAGCGTGTTGGATATTAGCGAAATTATTTTGAAAGTTAAGTAAGTTTTCATCTAAATCTATGGTATTTAGACACAATTTGTAAATAAAATTCATGGCTGAATTTATTCTAAGAGGGTGTTTGGTAGGAATTTTTATGTAAAAATGTATTTTTGAATAGTAAATTGATGGGAAATGTATGGTTGAAAAATAAGAAAAAGTTTTTGATTTACGTGTAATATTATTTTAATAAAGAATGTGTCGTTGAAAAGAAGAAAGAGAAAAATGCATTTTGAAAAAAATGGATGCCAAACAGGGCCTAAATAACATATTCCTAAATGTCATTGTGCTTGTGTGAGATTCTTTTAGGTATAGAGGCCTTCGAGTGCACATGAACTAAGGTACATATTTGATATTTTAGTTACAAAAGATGATACATATAAAATCGCATGAACATGGGATTGGATATATGCACAATCTAAATAAGTTTATGTCTAATGAAATAACTTCGTGAATCGAATACTACATGTAAAATACTTATGGACAGATTAGCTTCATATACTTATACATGATCAATACACCAAAAATAGGAGTAATCAATACAAAGAAAGGAAAGAATGCTTTCTGCAGAAAAGAGAATATTTAAAATATGAAAGATATATCTCCCAGGCAAAGCAGCCAAGTCAGAAAATTGGAGAGGAGTAATCTTAAATTATTTTCAACAAGAAGAAAGCAGCTCGTAAGTTGAACAACTACAAGAAATAATAGCAATTGAGTTTTCATTTAAGAAACTTCAAAACAAACCTGTAATCATACCGAAGGTTGCGAACCAAGAGGCTTGTAGGAAGGCCTCTTTAATGACTCCTGTAGTGGCATGTTGCGCTTGGGCTTCGATTCATTGACACAAGCTGTTTATACCAATGATATAGTAAAATTGTAGGACACGAGAACAGCTCATACCCGCTCGTCCAGCTTTCTTTGCAGCATCGAGCTTTTCTGCCTTGAATAGAGGATTAGAGTATGAAATCTTATGGATGACTTTTATCAAATAGCCAGAATGACACCCATAAATTGATGAAAATGTGTCGGACATATGATACTTAATGCATTCCTTTAAACCATGTCTTGCTTAGGAGCGACATAATTCAAATAGAAGTCAGAAAAGGAAGAGGAAGAGTTACTTGGGACTAGGGATGTCAATGGGTCAAGTCGAGCCGGCTCGACCCGTAAACTCACAAGCTCAGCTCGTGCTCGTGGCTAACTGAGCTCATGGCTCGTTTTGAACGAGCGGAGCTGAAGCTTGGCTCGATCATTTTGGGCGAGCTCGGCTCTCGTGGGCTGAGCTGAGCTTTGGCTCGCGAGGTCGTCAATTTTTTTTATTATTTTTTTTAAATATAGAAAAACAAAAATAATTTAATGAAGATAATTTTTTTTTTTTTTTTAAAAGTGTTAGAAAAGCACAAATAATTTAATACATTTTTTAAAAAATAATTTAATGAAGACATTTTTTTTTTTTAATTTCTATCATATTGTAATATTTTCTATAAAGTATAAAATATTTATGTAATGAAGACGAATTATTTTTTGAAATACATTTTTTTGATTTCTTTTTAAAGTAAATAAAATGTAAACCCTCCTCCTTTATCCGGGCTTAGGATTGGCTATATCAATTTTAAGTAGGTAAAGTTAAAAAAAATGCACACGAACAACTTGTTGTAACGTGTACAATTTTTTAAAGAAAATTAAATTTAACAATTAAAAATAAGAAATTTTGATTAATATAATTAAATCAAATATCACTTATCTAACGACGTGCAATTTCAGCATATTTATCTTGTAGTCGAAAATGAGCATCCTTCCGATTCTTCACACACATTAGCGCTTTCAAAACATCTTCTTTTAGCCGGTTCCTGACATCGATCAAAACCCTTTTACCTGCACTAAAAGCAGACTCAGAAGCAATAGTGCTAATTGGAGGTGTCAGCATATATTTCGCAATTGTAGAAACAATTGACCAACGTCTTTTATACTTCCGTCAAAATTCAATTAGTTCTTCTGAACTTTTTTTAAATATTTTGTCTGTTGACATATTATGATTGAAGCAATCAATTTATTCGATAAGCATCTCATTTTGAGTTGCGGGCGATATTTGATGAGATGCAATTGTAGACGACATGACACTGGATGAACACATTGCAATTGCATTATATCTAAATATATTGATGCCTTGAAATAAATTCATTATTTCGACAACATCTTCTTCAATTTCAGTCGAAGGAGTATGTGCAAAGGGTACCTGAATAACATTCGCACCCATTCGTTCCGCATATAAATCAGACATTCCACATAATGTTTGTTCTAAATTCTTATTGGTGATAGGTGTATCAAGTATTAAGACTTTATTGATTTGATCAATTACGTATTTAGTTCCCGATATATTATATCGGGGGTCCATTGCGCATGCTAAAAGAAACAACATAGAAGTTCTTTCCAATATTTTCTAAATCTTAATTCCATAGCAATTATAATTTCACTAAAATCAAAATCATTTTTATATTTATGAAATGTTCTTGCAATTATATAAAGGTGTTTAAGTACCATACAATTTGTGATATAATAAACGCCCCATAAAATTTTTGTGGTATCATAAAAAGATGTCAAAACTCGTTTAACTTTCAAAGTTAAAACCCAATCGGATTCATTCAACATACCATCGTCATTGCTACTAACGTGTCGATTGTTATAAAAGTAAGTTATTAAATGTTCGAAATCTTCACATGACTTTAATAGTAAGTAAGAAGAGTTACATCTATGGCCTACGTCGCTAACAAATGTTTTGGCAGTCGTCACCCCTAGTTCGGCACAAAATTTTTTAAATGCTTGTTTTCTATTAGGAGAGATCGTAATATATACTAATGATTTCCTAATCCTTTAAAGTTTATCCTTTATATATTTTAAGCTATATTGCACAATTAAATTTAAAATATGGCATACACAACTAATATGAAACAAATACCCACCGAAATCAGGTTGAAGTACCCTACACAATTTATCAACGACTACCTTCTTAATACTAGCATTACCGAAAGTAAAAGACCAAATTTTAATCTCTCAATTATATTCTCCAACAATACAAATAATAGCATTATATATACTATTAGCATTGTGAAGAAACTCAATAATTCTAAAAGTAATAATTTTTTTATACGTGCGCCAAAGTGGGTCTATATAATGTACGGTTACAATTATATATGTTCTTTTATTAACCCCTTCCCATATATTAGAAGTTAAAGATATAACACCCCCATATTGTTGCAAAGTCATAATTAATTGTTGTTTTAAATCATTGAAATATTGCATTGTATCAGAACGAAGAGTGTTTCGATTTACCCTAATGTACTTTGGTTGCAGATATTCTCTCACGAAAGAGACGAAGTGTTGATTGTCGGCAATAGCGAGAGACAACTCAATGCCAGCAACAAATTTCACCATTTCAGTTCGAGTATTGCCTTCGAATACACCCACGTGAATATGGGTGAAGTCGTAGAACCGACGCCTGGACTGCCAAATTGCAA